TACACTGCTGCTCACCACAGACACATCAGGAGCTGAACACACACAAAAGGATCGATAAGATTTTAAAATTCAAATGGCTTATTTTTTCTAAAATGTAAATGTATAAATTTTATTGATATCATAAAGTATGTACTTTACTTCATTTGAAGCCAGTAAATTTTTTAAAACAATTCTGGAACTCTTTCCTTACCAAAAGTAAACATGTGATTTTAATATTTAAAAATAAAACATTTAAATAAAACATTTAAAAAACATGCCATGGTTTTCCTAAACTAACCATAATTTAACCACAGTATTTGTAGTAAATAGTATTTGTGGTTATAAAATTGAATTAATTAATAGGCTACGCCAAAAAAAAAAAAACATGGTTACTACATTTTTACTATAATAAAAACATGGTTAATTTTTGTAAGGGTTACAGCTGTCCAATCGGACGTGCATTCTTCCGCCGATGCGCACTGAACAGCCTACAAAAATACACTGCGGTGAAATTCAAAATAGTAGACCTCTATTTCAATTTGCCATTCTGCAAATTGCACCACAACACTTGCACCACAACACGCTTATTTAATCAGCATTCAGCGATCAGATTAATCCGATCCAGAACGATTTTTACGAGTTGGTTCTGAGTAAAAATCAGAATGGTCCAATTAATTCTTGAGCCGGTTTTTACTTTAGTGGATCAACACACTTAGCCTTCTGTATGAACCATTCGCCACGGTTTCTGTGATCTGATTCACTGCAAACCGGAATCGTTTAGAGGAATTATAATCTTAATTAGCGTTTATATTGGGTAACTGAAGAAAAATAACGATTTATCGGTAATTAAGCACAATTGTGGCCATATCGGTTCACATTAGGCTCACATTAAGTTCTCCTTTTTTAGTTATTCTTTTTTTTTAGCTACAGAAATAAATATCTATCACACATAATCCAACAACAACCTTTCATATGATTTATAACATTACTTAGCTACATTATTTATTACAATAATTTGGAATTTGGAAAGATATTCTTACCTGATCGTACCGTCAGATACAAATAATAACCGGCGTCTAGAGTGTTATAGTCACCGATCTCGACAGCACACCAGTAATATCCAGAGTCTGAGTTCTGCAGATTCTCCCACTGCACTGTAAAAATACTCTGGGCTGGATCATCCGTGAGGGAATATTTTTCTGTCTCATTTGCATATGTCAAAATACTGCAAGAGACCCAATGGGACCCCTCGCACCAGTATTTACGGTTTTCTTTATGTTTTTTATCATATAGACAGGGAATAATTCCAGGTGATCCCGATTTCACTCCGATATTCAGTGCATTAATTACAGCTTCATCTGTACACAAGATTAAATGAAAACATCCATAAACTGCACATGTACGAAACGTAAGAATTCAAATCTCAAAGAATTCAAGTTAAACAATTTTAAAAATGCAAGTTTAACAAAACACCATGCGATAGTTTAACAACGCTAATTATAAGAGAGAATTATAAGCGTTTTATTACTACCTGAGATGTGAAGTAAAATCCCGGAGAGAATCAGAGTGTAAATCATAGCGGAGTGCATGTGCATGAGAGCTGGTCAGGTCTTGCAGTGTCTGTGTTTCCTCCTGTTTCAGAGGAAGAGCAGAAATATCGCCTTAAACCACATAAGCACCAACAAGTGAGCCAATTTAGCCAGTTTGCAACCAGCAACCTCACACTAGCAACAACAAATACATATTTTATTTATGGGCTCTATTTTGATTTGTGAATGTATGTTAGCAGTAATGTAATTACTGTCGAAATGTTTAAGAAATAATGTCTGAGCAGATGACTTTCTGCATTTACTGCGACTGACTGGACAACATTTTTCTATATCAGCCACTAAT